ACAGACAAAGAAAGAAACAGCGTGACAGCACGTGATGAGCGCTTAACAGGAGTCCGGACAAGGTACTAACGGTACAGAAGAGACCTACTCAAGCCGCTTGGTTCCCTAGTGCCGTTCTAACAGAAAATGCCACAAATGGGTGAGTTGAACAAACAGGAATTTATTCTCTTACAGTTCGGGAGGCTAGAAGTCTGAGTTCAAAGTGTCAGTCTCCAGGGGCTGGGTGAAAGCCCCTCAACCTTGGGCTTCAGCTCTGCCTTTTGCTCCCGGCCCACTGGAGCTAGAGGCTTCTCTTCACTCAGGCAGCTGTTGGCTGCTGAGGCTGACAAACCCAAGGTCAACAAGTAAAAAAAGTCCCAAGATTATCAAACAACAGGGCAGGCCAATAGTTCCAGTTCCGAAAAAAAGCCCAAAATCGGCAGGAAACACGGCAGGCTGCTGAATGAAGACTCAGCTCCATGCAGGGTCCAAGTGTGCCAAAAGCTACAGCCCATTCCTAAGGCTTCTCCTTGTGTACTGGAAGCAACTCTTGTCTTTCATGTTTTCCTAGAGCTTCCTCTTGAGAGATAAAGGCTAGTTAACCAACTGGAGAGAAATGCAAATATTGAGTATATGTTTGAATTAAATTCTCATAGTTTAGTATTGAATTTTGAGGCACTACTGGCTGAAGAATTTAAATCATTTTAATGGTTGTAATTGACTCTCAAAAGGTTCACAGTAGACATGTGGGGGTGCAGCAAGTGAGCCCCAATGTGGCATAATGTGAACAGCTACTGAGCAGAGCTGAAGGGCATGTGGGTGTTTAGCATACTGACCTTACAACTTTTTGAAAATTTCCCAAATAAAAAATTGGGGATGGCCATTAATTGACTGGTAGTATAATGCCTAGGCACTTGACTGCTAACCGGAAGGCCGGCGGTTCAAACCCACCAGCCACTCCTCGGAAGGAAGGTGGGGCAGTCTACTTCCATAGTGATACTGCCTCGGAAACCCAAGGAGGGGTCACTATGAGGCGGGTCCGACTCGACGGCACAGAACAACAACAACATTAATTGACTGGGGGCCAAGGACAAGGCCTGGGAGGACTGGGAGAGAAGCAGTCTGAGAAGAGGTTGTGCAAAGACCCCAAGGCATGAGAACCATGGGACTTTCCAAATATTGTAAGTTGTTAGATATGACTGAAGGAGCCCTGTGGGTGCAGCAGTTAAGTGTTTAGCTGGTAAAGGAAAGGTTGGTGGTTTGAACCCACCCAGAGGCTCTGAGGGAGGAAGGCCTGGTGATCTGCTCCCATAATGACCACATCCTAGGAAACCCTATGGGGCAGTTCTACTATGTCCTATAGGGTCATTGTGAGTCTGGATTGACTCGAGGGCACCCACAACAACTGGTATGTCTAGAACATGAAACACTTACGGTGGTAGAATGCCCAACAACGCGGCCAGAGAAGGCAGTGAGTGGTCCTAGCAGGCTTGGCTCTGTCTTGAGTGCAGTAGGGAGACACTGAAGGATTTCATGCTTTTAAGGTGACTGTTTTGGTTACTTCATGCCGCTCAAATAAAATTACCACAGGTGGTGGCTTGAACCAACAGGAGTTTATTCTCACATAGTTTTGGAGATTAGAAATCTAAGTTCAAAGTGCCAGGCTCTAGGAGCTGGGTGAAAGCCCCTCGACCTTGGGCTTCAGCTCTGCCTCCTGCTCCCGGCCCACTGGGGCTGGAAGTGTCTCTTCACTCAGGCAGCTGCTGGCTGCAGAGGCTAACAAGCCCAAGGTCGACAAGTAAAAAGGCACAGTCCAGATATTTCCAAACACGGCAGGCCACTGATTCAAGTCCAGAGACAGTCCCAAGATCGGTAGGCAACATGGCAGGCTGCTAAATGAAGACTCAGCTACATGCAGGGTCCAAGTGTGCCCAAAAGTTGCTGAGACCTTTCTCAAAACTTATCAATCTCCTCATGGGGAATGACTGCACCCAGCTGCCCAGCCACTCAAAACCAGGCCCAGTGAAGTTGACACACAACCTTAAATACCACAGTGACCACATTAAAACAAACAAAACCCCAAACCCACCGTCATTGAGTTCATTCTGACTCACAGCGCCCCTAGAGGACAGAGTGGAACTGCCCCCACAGGGTTTCCAAGGCTGTCAATCTTCACAGAAGCAAAGCCCAAACCACACCCACTGCCATGGAGTCAATTCTGACTCACAGCGCCCCTAGAGGACAGAGTGGAACTGCCCCACAGGGTCTCCTAAGCTGTCATCTGTACAGGAGCAGATCGCCAGGTCATTCTCCCAAGGAGTGGCTCAGTAGATTCAAACCGTTGACTTTTCAGTTAGCAGTTGATTGCTTAAGTGTTTAGGCCACCAGGGCTCCTTGGCATACCAAAAAACTCACTGCCATTGAGTCAATTCCAACTCATAGTGACTCCCTTGGGTTTCTGAGGTGGTAAATCTTTACGGAAGTAGATTGCCCAGTCTTCCTTCCGCACTTCGGCATACAGCAGGTACTTAATTAAAAAAAGAGAAAAAAAACTGTAGCAATCACAATCATGGGTGGTGAAATGCTTTCTCAGGTGCTAACAGTTAGGGAAACATGCTGTCCATGGTGCCAATGTTTTCTCCCTGAGGAGTGAGTGTTTGGGGAACACCCGTCTCCTAACACCTGTTGGACTGGCAACATCACAATCTAAAGTGAATGGTGAATGCACGGCAACTTAGGGCCGTTCAAAACACTTTCACTTTTTATTAAAACACTTTCATCTCATTAAAACACTTTTGACTTTTATTAAAACACTTGTGCTTTTTAAAGCTATAGGCTGTGTCTAGATTCACTTCTGCCTTCCACTAACTAGTTTATTGTATCAGTTTAGGAAGTGCCAATGTTCCTGCCATTCCAAGGACGGCTGAGTTGACGACTTCCACTCCCAGTGACCCCAGCTGACGGAGTGGAACTTCCCCGTTGGGTTGTCTGGGCTGTAATCCTACGGGAGCAGAAGGCCAGGTTTTCTCCTGCGGAGGCAGTGGATGGGTCTGAACCACCAACCTTTCTGTTAGCAGCCAAGTGCTTAACCGCTGAGTCACCGGGGCTTGTGATTACTATTTCTAGTAAGTTTAATACGTGAGATGTGAATTTATAGAACTCACAAAGTAGGAAACTTATTTCATGCACAGTTTTTCAATTATGAAAAGTCCTATTTTCATACAGGAATGAAGCCTGTGGTCGGTCAAAAGCAGCCCAGAGGGAACATATGTGCAGAGCCGTGCTCACCTAAACTCACTGCTGTGCGGTAGATTCGAACTCACAGCGATCCCTTTGTAGGTTTCTACTTCTGTTTGCAGAAGTAGGTTGCCTCATCCTTCTCCCATGGAACAGCTGGTGGGTTTGAACCGCCAACCTTCTGGTTAGCAGCCAGAGAAAGGCCTTACCCACTCTGCCACCAGAGCTCCTGACACTCATCGAGACCGTGCTGATTCTCAGACAGAAAAGAGGGGCCTGGCTGTGCAGCTGGAGGGTGCCTGGAGACAGCGCCGTCCCTTTGGGGGACAGTGAGCTGAGCCAGGAAGACAAATAAATGACAGGTAGGTACAGATGCCCTTGGTCAAGGAGGCACCAGAGACGTCAGGCCCCAAGTTAGATTTTGCCGCTCAAAGCCTTCTTGCCGGCTCTCTCTGCCCGCCCCCAGCACACTTACTGTCATGACTTCTGTCTCCTTGCTTCCGCTCTGACCTGACCGTGCCCTTGAACACCACACAGCTCTGTGTCCCTACCACCCTGCATGGTGCCCGGCCAAGGCCAATGCATTGATGTTGTTGCAGGGTGCCATCAAGCCGATGCCAACTCACAGAGACCCCATGTGACAGAGGGCAACTGCCTCACAGGGTTTCCAGCAGGTTTAGGGAAACAGGCTGTCATCTTTGTGGGAGCAGACCACCAGCTTTCTCCCTGGAACTGCTGGGGGTTTCAAACCACCGACCTTTAGCATGGCAGCCGAGGCTTATCGGTTGCACCGCCGGGCTCCTGACATTAGTTTCGGGGTTCGGAATGAACAGCGAGGGCACGAACATCGTATGTGACCTCCGTAAAGAGCACAGCGGCCTCCCTGAGGCACAGCAGGCCTAGCACTGCCTCTTTTCTTTGAAATGAGTTTCAATTTTGGGTTTTAAAGAAAACACAGTGTTATTAAATTTATATATAACAGTGTATGTACACACATATATCCCTGGTGGTGCAGTGGTTAGGCATGCAGCTTTTCACCCAAAGGTAAGGGGTTCGAACCCACCAGTGTCTGATGGGGAGAAAGACGTGGCAGTCTGCTCCCACGAAGAGCAGAGCCTAGAACCCCTACAGGGTAGTTCCACTGTTAGACAGGGCTGCTGTGAGTTGGAATCGGCTTTGTGACCCAAGACAACACACACAGCCACACATACCCCATTTGGAGTCTCTGGTGGTGCAGTGCCTAAGGTGCTTGACTGCTAACCAGAAGGCTGGCGGTTCAAACCCACCAGCCACTCCTCGGAAGGAAGGTTGGGCAATCTACTTCCAAAGAGACACTGCCTTGGAAACCCAAGGAGGGGTCGCTATGAGTCAGGTCCGACTCGACAGCAGTGCATTTGGTTTTGCTTTGGTTTAGTGACATGAAGATTCTTTAGACATTAGTTCTGACGTCTAAGGTGGTGCTGTAGGGTCCACCATACATAGAGTCCTCCAACCCCCGTCAGCTTGTCGTCCTGGTGCCTCGCAAGTTGTTGTGACAATGGGAGCCCTGTCACTGGGATTCCAACGTCAGCAGGGCCACCCGTGTTTCAGCAGAGCTTCGAGGCTGAGAGACTGGGAAGGCAGCCTGGGGTCTTCCACGGATCAGCCCACAGCCCCATGGGCCACAATGGGACAGTGCTCAGGTCACCTGCTCGGGGCAGGTCATCAGGAGGGACCACTGCCGGCAGAAGACATTGTCCTCGGTGAGGCACGGGGCCACGAGGGTGAGGGAGGCCCTCAGCACGATGGACCGGCATGACGGCCACCACGGCCTGCAACCCGGCGACCGCGAGGATGGCGCGGGCCTGGACAACGTGCCTTCTGTCGCACACAGGGTCCGGTGAGTAGGAGTCGTACACAGACACACCTGCCCACTCCGGCCAGACCTCTCCTGATCCTTGTCATTGCAATGACATTAAAATTTCAGGACACCAAGCGAGAGAGCCGACAAAAGGAGCAAACACTGTCCCTTTATTCATGACCAGGGACAAGGCCAACAGCGACTGCCTCCAGCTCTTTCCAAGCTGTCCCTTCCTGGGGGGCCAGCACTTCCACGTCGCCGCGGTTCCCTCGGTCTCAGGAGCAGACACCGAGGGGTCGGCCGAGGACCCACAGGCACCTGCTTCCGGGAGAGGTGTTGATGCAGATGCTGACGCTGCCCGAGACAGTGCAGGCTCCAAACCGCATCCTCTCATCACTCGGGAAGCACCGAGGCAGGCAAGGGTGATCTCGGGCAAGGCAGGCACTCCCCCGTCAGAGGTGTACCGTCCACACACACTCTCTCATCTGGTTACAACACATGTAATTCACCTTCTGGGAGAGATACATAGATCTTCATGAAACTCACATGACTGTTGGTGGGAGCCATCCGGTCGATCATGACTCACAGGGGCCCCACGTGTTACAGAGCAGAAGTGCCCCAGGGACTTCCTACGCTGTGATCTTTAGGGAAACAGACTGCCAGGTCTTTCTTCCTCAGTGCTGCTGCGTGGGTTCAAACTGAGTGCTTACCCACGGTGCCACCACGGCTCCTCTGCATAACGGTCACTGCTTTTTAATGGAATATCCTTCTCAAATGAAAGGAAAAAAAATATCATTAAGTCAGAGACTGCCATCATTTTAAAAATCGGAAACATACTGATGTTCCTACTGCATGCAGATTCTCTTAGAAGGCACCGTTAGCTGAAACGCCACAAACCCAACAACAACAAAACAGGGCTGACTGCACAGTGAGAGATCTGAATACAGGTGACAAATACTTTTGTTTGAAAAAGGAGCGCTGGTGGCGGAGTGGGTAAGGCATTTAGGTGTTAACCAGAAGGTTGGGGGTTCAAACCCACCAGCTGCTCTGTGGAAGGAAGATGGGGTAATCTGCTTCCGTAAAGGTTTACAGCCTTGGAAACCCAATGGGGGTCACTGTGAGTTGGAATTGACTCAATAGCAGTGAGTTTCACTTTGGTTTTATTTAAAAAAAGTTTGTTCGAGTTCTGTGTGGAAAGACCCCTGCTGCATGGTAGTAGGCAAGTATTACAACAATGACACTGTGTAAAAGAACACCCCAAAACACCATGTTTACGTCACGTACTTATGTTTCCACTCCTGGGTCTCGAGGTTGACCCAGGTTTACCTTCCGCAGTGTGGGTGCAGCTGGGTGGTGGCTCAAGGTTATGGGTAAAGGGAACTAGTACTTAGTCAAAGGATAACAAACAATGCCCTACACTGAGTTCATCAAGGGGCCCAGTGGACAAACAGTGAAGCGCTCAGCTGCTGACCCAGAGGTTGGTGGATTGAACCCACCCAGCGGCTCTGTGAGGGAATGACCAGGTGAACTGCTTCCGTAAAGCCCACAGCCTGGCAAACCCGATGGGGCAGGTCCATTCTCTCAGAGGGGGCTGCTAGGAGTCACCCTCCAACAACAGCAACTCGTCACACGTGTGCTTTGTGAAAACCCATCAAGCTGACATGGATGACTTGTGTGCTGTCTTTTGGAAGCAGGCTATTCTTCACTAAAAAGTTTGTATTTTACAAGGTTTCATAAGAAACCACATTCTAGTGAAATTCCAGAATCACACCCTAAAGCTCTGAGCGTGGCCGCGAGAGGAGGTGGGATGAGAGGAGCAAGAGACGGCAGACTGCTGAACAGTAACAGTGGGACCCAAAGGACGATGGAGGAGTGGCTCTGTCGGAGGGGAAGGTACTGCCCATCTGTCAATCAGGTGACGGGCCAAGACACACGTTTCATAAAACAGTCCCGGAAAGCTTGCCACCCACACACACTTCTCAGAGGTTTCTGGAGGACACACTTTACAGAAGAGAAGAGGGAAGACAGAGGGTCCTGGGAACAGAGAAGCGGGGAAGAGAATTTCAGAAATGGTGCTAAAAGAAGCCCCAAGCTACAGCTATGCAGGCAGCTGAGAAGCAAGTCTGTGATGAGGAGCAGGAAGACAAAGGGTCCAGAGCGGACACTGCCAAGAGGCAGACTGGCAGAGGGTGGCAGATGGTTACCCAGTGCACCAGTGCCGTCCAGCTCATTCTGACTCAAGGCGCCCCCATGAGTGCCTCAGAGTCCAAGGGACTCCACAGGCCTTCAGGGCGGATCTCTGGAAGCAGACTGCCAGGCTTCTCTTTCGCCACACCTCTGGGTAGACTCGAACCTCTGACCTTTCAGGCAGTGGCTGAGCACCACTAACAGCACCAATCAGGGGCTTGTTCTGTTGGGCAGTACAGTGATGAACAGGGATAGATACATGGAAGTCTAAACAATGGGGGCTGGGAGGGAAGATCATTAACTACAGAGAAGCAACATAATGTTCGAGAAAGGATGGCACGCTACAGCAAACAATGTTGGCATAAACCTTAAACCAAACCCACTGTCATTCAGTCGATTCTGACTCACAGCGCCCCTAGAGGACAGAGTGGAACTGCCCCACAGGGTCTCCAAGG